TTGGCTGCAATGCAACAAACAATAGTAAGTTGTAAAATTAAGCAACTCACAAATAAACTTAGTTACTTACTTCGTCTTGTGTCTAAGAATTTGAAGCTTCTCATATATAATATATTTCTGATCATATGCACAAACAAAGAACGACTAACCATCTTCGGAAAAAAAATGATATGTTCAAGAGTTAAAACAAATATGTACCCAAAAAAATGATAAAATAATAAAATAATAAAAATTCAATAGAGAAATATCATACTTGAAACAAATTTATTTTCATAATCTCAATCAGTTCCAGTCCTACACTACTTTTAATCTCAACTCACCTATGAAGCGGAAACGGATACGGCGATACAATACGAAAGGCAATACATAAAATATCTAAAAACTATAGGATATGATACAGTAATTAAAAATACATATTAATAATTTATATATAGTTATCAAAATATTTATAACATAAAAATAAGATAAAGATACAGTAGAAGAAGACGAAGTGTTGGAGTATGACCTACAGCTGGCAAACTCTTCGAATTTTACAACCAGCAACAATTAAAGCTTATCTCCTCTTTATTTTCCCTCTTAAAAACCAAAGAATAGCATATTCTTAGAGCTTTAACGTACTCGTCACCACACCACCAGACTTTAGTGCTCGTTGCTTGCTTGGCTTAATCAGCTACAGTAGGAGTTTTACCAGCTTCATCCACATCTCCACCATCACATTTCTACAATCGCAGAGCCAAGTTATAAAAGTATTATTACAACATAGAACTTGGAAAGCACAATTCGGTATTACCTCTGCCTTTATTGTAGGTGGCATCACAGGAAGAGAAATTTTGTGATACACATTTTGTGTCCTTTTACAGCCCAAAAACATATCCTCAATCCTCATGTTACAGTCCCGAAACATTCCATATTTTCCGAAGTAGATTCGGGCTCCCCACAACATTCCCTTATAACACCTGATATTTGCGAAGCTTTTCATCTTCTTCCCTATCACTTGAATGATCACGATAGGATCAAAATCCATCCCAATTGAAATTCCAACATCCTCAAGCATCTTTGTCACATTACCGTCTTCATAAAACTTAAATGCTAAGTTGAAATGGTCTTCAGCAAGCGGATCAGTGTATTTATTTACCATGCTCTTTCCACTGTCTTTCCCAAAAAAAATTATTCTTAGTCAAATCCTTCGCTGTTGGATTTGGCCAGTACTCTTTCATCTTGACAACACAAGTTGTCTCCTGCAAAAATTAAGACAGAGGTGTAAAACTGAAAAAAAATATAATGATGAACAAAAATAAAAATGAAAAATAGTGCTCAAGGTTATGGATGTTCACGAAGTATACAATACCGCAATTTTGAACTGTTCGCCATCAAACTCTCTCTTTGGGCATTTGCAGCTGATCCGCTCTTTGGACGCGCATTAAAATCATTATATATTGGCCATAGACCATTGATGATAAATTTCTGTGTGACGGGCTCATGGCAATTACGTCTAGCAAGGTCTTTCATTCGCATGAAGTAGGTATTAGGCCAAGTCATCAATAAGGTGTAAAATTCGAAATCATAGTAGTTGCCGTATTTGCCAGCAGCTGCTGCGGCTACCATGGAGAGCATGATTAAACAAAGGAAAATGATGTGCGTCATACTTGGGTGATGAGGAAGAGAGCAGGGATTTGATTAATGAGTTGCCAGATTGCATCTTGTCATCCATATCTTCATTGTTAACCTTGAAAGATGTAGTGGATGCCACTAGCATGGTATCACCTCGGTGGAGGCGTCTTGTGTTGCATCCAATACTATCAAGGCTCAATCTTGAATTCGACATTTTAAACGTTTTCGGAATCAGCATTGATGACGACAACCTGATTGCTGATAAATATAATATTTTAACGGCTATACTCCAAAATAGAATATTTTAAGGTATAGCTGCCCGGCTATACCCTGTAAATAGCAAACTAAGAAAACACCTCTCTCGACGAAGTTTCGTCGGCACGGGTCTGCCAGCAAATATTTGTCGGATTGGACATCTCCCGATGAAAGTTACCTCTGCCGACGAAATTTCGTCGAGAGAGGTCTAATACGGCAAATTTCGCCAGGATAGATATGTGCCGACGAAATTTCGTCAGGAGAGGTGTTTTGTTTTGTTTTTTTTTTTTTTTTAATTTAAAATATAAAATTAGTTTCTTTACTTTTGTTTTTTCACCGACTTATTTAATTTAATATCTGTATATATAAAGCAAAAGGCAGAGAATGGTGAAACATTCAAAATACCAGAAAATGCCCTTAGTGAATGCAAACATTAAGAATTAAAATTATTAATTAAATGAGGATAATATGGTAAATTTACAATTTTTCATATTAAAAAAATTTAAAATTAAAAGAAAAATTAGATAATGGATCCTCTTTTTATGGAACTAAACTACCCATTATCTTTTTTAATTCTAAAATAAGTTTAAATTTTTTTTTAAAAAGCCTCTCGCAGGCGCGGAAGCGCGTGCGGAGAGGCTAGTATGTGATTAAGTAATATCTTAGCCTTTTTGAATATTTAGTAATTATGTATTTATTATTATTTCTTTAGTGAATATTTAAATATGTTACTGATTTAGTTCTGCTGTGCAAAAGTGAAAAAATAAATTACTTATTTTCGTTTGGGTGTCTTAATTAAATTTCCCCAAAGCCCAAGAGCCCTAAGGCTCAAGGCCCAAGTCTTTGATTAATATAATTATTATTAATGAAAGCCAAATCCAAAGCCAAGCCCGTTAGCCCAACTCTCCAATGTTAACAACACTTACTAAACCATCATCGTGCTATGTTTGTAAACACCTTTATAGGAGTGTGGTTTTTCTAATTTTTTTCACGCTTCTTCATAGTGTTACCAACCACATCCATGAATTTCTTTTCTACCTGATTTCTAGAAAAATGCCTTTCCTTTTCCACCATTGCCTTTTCAATAGCTTTAATTCTTCTTTGTAAATCCTGCAAGTCCGAAACACCATTTGATACTGTAGCCACTTTATCTCCATCCAAATGAGAGCTTTCAGCATGCAGAAAGTCATCTTGGATACAAATGATATCCAAAATCGCATGCACCATTGAACTATTGAAATCAAATGCAACATGCAATAAGCTGAACAATTCATGTCCAGCCCCCTTTCCATACAATTTCCCACAATTGAAGTACCACTTTTTAAAATATATATATATATATATATATAATTTGAGGCCTCCAGAGTAAAATAAAAGGAAGTTCAAAAGAGAATCCTGGAGGAGTGGCGGACCTGTGCAAGCGCAAGGAGGCGCGCCCGCACCTCCGGTCGCTGGAAATCGCCATTACAGGTGCTGGAGTTGCACCTCTGCTTTAGACCAGCGATGCACATGAGGTGTTCGACGAAATGCGCAAGTGACTGGGCGTTGCGTAGCTGCTGGTGCGCGCTGCGCGCAGCGCGCGCACGCTCTCCTTTTTTTTTTAATGAAGCCTGGCCAAAACGACGTCGTTTTGGACCAGGGTTTTTTAATTTAATTAAAAAAACGGAAATTGATGCTGTGTGTGGGCTTTTTGTGGGTTTTTTCAAAAGGGCTTCTATTTCCTTACTTAAATGGGACTTAATTGGGAGTTCTCTTTATTCAATTGGGTTAGTTCCTTAATTAAGTAGAATTGGGAATTCTCTTTATAAAAGACCAATTTAACATCACCCAATTTCATCAAAGTGTGTGTGCATCACAATAATTTTTTTTTCTTATTTAGCTCTCTCTATACAGTTATGGAACGATACTTTCAGAGAAAGAGTTCAAATCCTCCTTCAAATTATCCTGCTAGTTCAAATCAACCTTCAAATAATCCGGCTAGTTCCAACCCTCCTTCAAATAATCCGCCTACTTCACATTCTCCCTTGAATAATTCGGGTAGTCCAAAACGATCAGAGGTCACTGAGTTGGATGAAATATTGGCTACTCTTCCTGCAGACCCTGGACTTTGACCTCCAATGACTTATTATAATCCCAATTTTCGAGAACAAATCCGAAGAGCCTATCTACAAAGGAGTCCTTGTCAGCCTTAATTAATTATGAATAACATTAGTATTGTTTAAATAATAAGGATGTTTTGTTTTTTGTTTTTTTTTTTTTTTTTTGTTTTTTTTTTGAGCTCTTAGCTTTTAAAAATTGCACCTCCACTGAAAAATTCCTGGGTCCGCCGCTGCCTGGAGCCACTAGCAACTTGCATACCAGTTTCAAGAAAATAACTAGTGATGCAGGAGCTCGCGTGAAGAGAGAGATGTACGGACTAGGATTTTGCAGGCACTCATTTTTGCAGTGATTTTGGCGCCAAGCCGTGGATGCTGCTCACTATAGCCGTCCAGGACCAAAGGGGCTTTTCATTTGGGATAGCGTTCATATCTTACGACGTCGTTCCGTACTCAGTATCAGAAAAAAGAAACGATGATTTGGGCCCATTGGGCTATTTTAAAGAAAGGTACTATAAAACCCAATAACATTCAGCTGGGTGTTCCAATCATTGAAGAAAAGTTTTAATTTAACCATTGGGACAAATGATTTTTCTCATTAATCAACAACTGTGAGCTGATCAAGCACAATCTAATCCAAACCAGTTGTAATCATTACAGATTAACGTTGACTAATCATAGTAAGCTACAGTCCAGATGAAGCAAAGGTTTCTAAACCATTGGATTAGATTCTGGTGAGATGCTGTTCTTCAGAGGCAACCAACCCATAATATTTTAACGTCTTTAGCAAGTCTTTCTTTATGCTAATTTTTAACTGCTAATTGCTCCTTTCTCCAATCACTTGCTTCAGAAAGTTTGGTGAAAATTGTGAACAACTGTTCAACTGCCCCGCTCGTCAGACTGGTTGCTATAAAATGAAAAACGGATAAAAAAAATAGAACCATCAGCCTCATTTAAAGAACCCAAAGGCCTCTTTTTGGTGAATTTAATAAGAGCAGCATTAGCTAGTGCATTGACATCTTTACACATTTCATTGCCATGTCAAAAACCACAGCTTCTCCTCCTCACATAGCGCTGTTGCCAAGTGCTGGGATGGGTCATTTGCCCCCCTTCCTCCGCCTTGCTTCCATGCTCTCCTCCAGAAGCTGTACCGTCACCTTGATCACTGCCTCCCCTTCTGTTTCTGCTGCAGAGTCTTCTCACATTTCTTTCTTTTTATCTCAGCATCCACAGGTCAAGCACATTGAGTTCCAAGTCCTTCCCTGCAAGCCCTCCTCCAATCCCACCACTGATGACCCCTTCTTCCTCCAATTTGAAGCCAGCAACCGCTCTGTCCATCATCTTTACCCTTCACTTGCTTCTGCATCTCCACCTCTCTCAGCCATCTTTTCTGACTTTGCAGTGGCTTCCAGTATTGCTCCTGTTGCTGCTGATCTTGGCATCCCCAATTACATCATCTCCACCACCTCTTGTAAGTTTTTCTGTCTCATGGCCTACCTTCCAGTCCTTCTATCCGACACTTTGTGTTTTAGCAGCAGCCTCAGTGAAGTCAACATCCCAGGCATCACCCCATTGCCCCTACCAAGCATTCCTCCTCCATTTAAGAACCCAAGCCATCTTTTCACATCACTAATTGCTACAAATGCTCAAGCTCTTTCTAAGGCCAAAGGGATTCTAATGAACACTTTCGATGATTTTGAACCGGAAACTCTAGCTGCTATCAACAGCGGCAGAGTTTTAGACAATCTCCCACCAATCCTCCCCATTGGACCATTAGAAACTTTTGAGCCCAAGAAAGAGCAGGACCAGTCCTATCTGCCATGGTTAGACAGCCAACCAGCAGAGTCTGTAGTTTATGTGAGCTTTGGAAGCAGAACAGCCATGTCCAGTGCTCAGATAACAGAGCTGTCAAAAGGGTTGGAGAGAAGCGGATATAGATTTTTGTGGGAAGAGTAGGGAAGGGGGGGGTGAGCCAGCAGGACATTCTTGAACACCGTGCCATTGGCGGATTTCTCAATCACTGCGGGTGGAATTCGGTCATGGAAGCAGCCCGGAAGGGCATACCGATGCTGGCATGGCCACAACACGGGGATCAAAGGGTGAATGCAGAGGTTGTGGAGAAGGCAGGGCTGGGAATATGGGAGAGGAAATGGGGTTGGGGTCTTGAAGGGTTGGTGAGTGGTGAGGAGATAGGGAAAAAGATTGTGGAGCTAATGGAAGATGAGAAGCTGAGGGGTTTGGCCAGGAAGGTAGGGGAAAATGCTGGGAAGGCTACTGGTATTGGTGGGAAATCTGAGAAGGTGCTCACTGAAGTCCTGGAATATCTTGAGCAGAAGAAGAACTGATGAGAAGTCCTTGGATTTGTGTATTTAATTTTAAGTGTCATGTCATTTTCCAATCTCAAATTGGCAATATCTCAGATTTGGATGAGTAATTTTTAGCCTCAGAGCCCTCAAGCCTCTAAAGCAGCATCTCAATTTGTAGCTAAAAGAATTCGCAAAGACTTAAAAGATTTTCAGTATCCTTTGCTTGGTTAATTTCTTCCCGCTCTACTGACCTTGAGTATGGGACTATATTTCAAAAATAAATAAATAAACAAGGTTAGACTTGTAGAAAGTTTGACAATAATAACTAACGTGAACAAATCCTATTGCAATTGATAAGCAATTTTCACCTTGGTGCCTAAAGTGCCTTCGTCAAGCTCTATGAGTGATTACGGGCCAATCTCTTGCTGCAACACCATTTATAAAATAATTTCTAAGTTATTAGCAAGCCGTATTAAATCGGTTCTCCCTGCCATTATTAGCCCATCCCAGTCGGCTTTTGTGGCTGGGCGTCGCATTTGTGGTAATATTCTTCTTGTGCAGGGCCCCCTCGGTGTGCTATCAAGGTTGATATATATCCTCAAGGCGTGCGACTCTTTGGATTGGAATTTTCTTTTACATGCTCTTCAGGCTTTTAACTTTCCGGAGCAATTTATTGGGTGGCCTATGAGTTGTGTTACTAGTCCTAAATTCTCTGTGGCGGTCAATGGTGAGCTTGCTAGATTTTTTGCTAGTAAGAGAGGGCTTAGGCAAGGAGACCTCATTTCCCCCTACCTCTTTGATATTGAATGGAATTTTTTTTCCTTAATTTCAAAGAAAACTCTTTATGTGTTCATCCATGTACTTCTCGTAAGGACTCTATTTGGTGGCTGCCTAACCCCTCGAGACGTTTCTCTTCTGCCTCTGCTTGAGATATTATTCGGATCCCTCGTCCAAATGTTCCTTGAACTTCGCTGGTTTGGCATAATGCCCTTATCCCGTGAGCTAGTTTTGTGTTATTGTTGGCTATCCGGAGAAAGTTGTCGACTCTGGATTAGGTCAATGAGTTTGCTCCTCAAACTAACCTGATGTGTGTTCTTTATTAGGGGTGAGTACGGTCTGATTCAGGCCGGTTTTTGCCTCAAATTGGAATCAAAATTGTTACTATTTACCCAGTTTAGTTTGGTCCTATTTTAACAAAAAAAATTATAAAATTGTCCAGTTCGAGTTGAACCAGTTTTAGTCAAGTTTGGTTTTGAACTAGATTATTATTATTATTATTTCAAATTATTTATTTATACAAATTTCAACTGAAATTTATTTTTTTGGCTTGAAAATTAACAAATTATCCAATTTCATACAAGAAGAAATATTGAGGCTAGAAAAAATAGATATTTTGAAATTGAGCTTGGGTAAATATTAATTATGAGATTAAAAATATAGCATTGGATATAAATAAATATTAAAATTATATATATTTTTAATTTGGCTAGTCCGGTTCGGCCCAGTTTAGTTTGTTGGGGTATAGAACCGATTCGGTTCAGGTTTTTTGAATTAAGTTTGACTTTTTGGTCAACACGGTTTTTTTTGGTTGTCGGTTCTTCGGTTACGATGCCCACCCCTATTCTTTATGGGATGGATGTGGAATCTCATGACCACTTATTTTTTGAGTGCCAATTTTGTGAAGGGATTTGGAGGCTGGTTCTTCGTCACTGTGGGGTTTCGTGGTTAAACCCTCCTTGGCCATCGTTTATTGACTGGGCTGCTAGGAATTGGAAAGGTAAATCCCTATCTGTTGCTGTGAAGAAACTCTCCTTGGCAGTCACAGTGTATAGTATATGGATAGAGCGTAATAACAGAATTTTCAAGGATACTCGATCTTCCCCTTCTTTGGTCCTCATAGACTATGAAGCCGCAATTCACCTCTAGAAGGTTGACAAGTTTGACTTTGTTGTCTGCATGAGTGCCTATATCGGCGTCGTTTTTCGCAGCGTTGAAATTGGACTAGTCTTAGCGGTACTTATCATTATTGTGTGTGACGGTAACACTATATCTAACAACTTAAAACTACACATTAGAACTAATATTTCTTTTTTCTTCTGTGTAGGTTGCAATATATGTGATCAGGGTACTTTTGTTTGTGGCAAGGCCAAGGACTTTTGTTCAAGGAAACCATCCAAATTCCATGGTTTACAAAAATGTTGAGCAGTATCCCAATGCAAGCAATGTTCCTGGAATTCTCATACTTGAGATTAATGCTCCCATTTACTTTGCAAATACCAACTGCTTAAGAGAAAGGTACTAATTAATTAAACCTGAGTAAGAACTAAAGATTGATTGTGTTCTCATGATTATTTGTGATCATAGAAACTGCTTTCCAGAAATCCTTTAATCTTCTCTGATGTATTTTGTTTCACTTGTGCTAAAACATGAGAAGTTAGAATATGAAAATATAAGAGAATATGAAAATGAGAGAAGATAATTTTCTGGGTTTTCAACTTGTATCAGTTTTTATTGATTACAACATATTTATACAAGTCCTACAACTACAAACAAGAAAACAAGGTTTCATGAAACAAGGAAACAATGTTCCCATAAAACATGGAAATAATGTTCCCATAAAACAAGGAAACATAGCTTTAGCTAACACTCCCCCTCAAGTTGTGCATAGATGTCATCAATGACCAACTTGCCAAGAGAGAGACTGTCGATATTAATATTTCTGCATCAAGCTTCTTCTTAATAGAATGTCGATCCACTTCAACATGCCCCCTCACGTGGGACCACTGCATAGTGGGCCACATGTGGAGCAAAGGCCACATCGAAGTTAATCATTTCGGTCTGTCGGTGGCAACACCAAATCCAAGTGCAGCCGGTTGGTCGGTAGATCACATAAACCATGCGAACAAGGTAAAGGCAAAGCAAAGAACACAGAAACCCTGTGAACACGGCAAAGGTAAGGTAAAGAACACAGAAACCCTGTGAACACGGCAAAGGACACAGAAAACCAGCAAAGGCATGAGCAACAATATTGGTACCAACAAGAGCAACAATATTTTCCCCAACAAGAGACATAACAGGCAGAAGCAACAACACTGGCAGCAGCAAGAGTCATAACAGGCAGGAGCAACAACATTGTCCCCAACAAGAGACTTAACAGGCGGGAGCAACAATACTGTCCCCAGCAAGAGACATAACATGCAGGAGCAATAACATTGTCCCCAACAAGAGACATAACAGGCAGAAGCAACAACACTGGCTAGCAGCAAGAGTCATAACAGGCAGGAGCAACAACATTATCCCCAGCAAGAAACATAACAGGCAGAAGCAACAATACTGTCCCCAGCAAGAGACATAACATGCAGGAGCAATAACATTGTCCCCAACAAGAGACATAACAGGCAGAAGCAACAACACTGGCAGCAGCAAGAGTCATAACAGGCAGGAGCAACAACATTGTCCCCAACAAGAGACTTAACAGGCGGGAGCAACAATACTGTCCCCAGCAAGAGACATAACATGCAGGAGCAATAACATTGTCCCCAACAAGAGACATAACAGGCAGAAGCAACAACACTGGCAGCAGCAAGAGTCATAACAGGCAGGAGCAACAACATTGTCCCCAACAAGAGACTTAACAGGCGGGAGCAACAATACTGTCCCCAGCAAGAGACATAACATGCAGGAGCAATAACATTGTCCCCAACAAGAGACATAACAGGCAGAAGCAACAACACTGGCTAGCAGCAAGAGTCATAACAGGCAGGAGCAACAACATTGTCCCCAGCAAGAGACATAACAGGCAGGAGCAACAATACTGTCCCCAGCAAGAGACATAAACAGC